GGAGGGAAGCCCGGCGTTAGCCGGGCGGCCCGACTGGTACATATATACTTAATCTCACTTTGAATTAAGTCTCCCATCGGGAATGATCCTCCGAACATAAGCATTTCTTACTTTTCGCTTTTCCCTTTCACCTGGAGAATTGGTGAGCGGAGTACGATCGTATTTCCGTGCGCGAGCGGGAGCCTTTTTAGAGTATGTGAATGCTGCACCGAGAAGATCCTCCTCAGGTGTCGTGACGTTGAATGTTTCTCTTAAAAGTCAATACATGAATCAAATATCTATGCAACCAGCGTTTACATTAATTACCGATTACAACTTATTAGACGAGGAGCTTCCTCCCATAAAGAAGTAGGAGAGGACGACAGATTCCCTTCAGTTTTTGTTGAAAAGTCGTAACAATGTGTCTTCAAAGCAAGAGGCTGCATCTGCTAAAAAACACGTTGACTACAAGGAAACACATTACTCAGTACACACATTTAGATACCTATTTGTAAATGAACTCAGAAGTGGACATACTTGACTCGTCTGCATCATATCCAGTTTATGCTTTAACTCCAAAACTTCGTTGAAGCGCTTTGTCTCCAATTTCAGGTGATCGCTACGTATACGCTTCAGTTCATATTCGAGCTTGAATGAAACCACATCTCAAGAAAGGATACGGACCTTCACACCATCGTATAAAATGTTGCGAGGGAAAACGACTTTTTCACCCGTAGTGGTGAACGGTGAAAATCACGGACAATAATTTCATGAGGACCTCGTACTTTGCAACAACTACTTAAAAAAAGCTTAAGCCGGGGCCGGATCGCTGCGCAAGAATGAGCTGCACTACTGAGCTACAAAGTAGTTGAGTATATGATAAATGAGATACTTTAGTTACAGTCCACTATGCGCTTAGAGTCAAAAATTTTATGACTAAAGCGGCAAGCACTAAGAACTTGAAAAAAGCGAATGAAGCTAAACTGCTAAAGGAGAGGAAGAGGCAAGAGGCTACACCCCTCTGGAAAAATTGACTAAAATGGGCATCAGCTTTGATAATATTTAGAAAAGTAAATGAGCTCGTAACCGGTCAGATTGTACGGTGTTGACAAGGAGTTTCAAAACAAAGAGTATAACCTCGGTCACGGAAATGGAACATGAGTTTTTCGATGAGCTGACAAAAAAGAAAGACGCTTGTGTGTGTTGTATGCAAAAGTGCACGCCGGCAGAAAGACCTTAATCTGCCTGGTTGGTGCTGACGTAGGCTCGCATTCTGGGATTGTTTCGAATGTGCGTTGTGTAGTAGCGTCCTTTTCGATAAGACTAATTCCGGGAGCAGGTCACTTCTAAGATAGAAGGAATTGTTCCATACCAGGGTAGTCGTGGTCCCAAAGATAAAGACGACGACTGTGACTTTCCATTCTCGAAATAAAGGGATATTTTGTGTAGTTACGCAAGTATGCGATCGCGGAACTTCGATGGAACCACAATTCTTGGTCCGAGAAAAGGCAATTTCCAAAGCGATGATCTTCGGTAACGACTTACATTGCCATTTGTCATCTCGAATGTATAGAAACTAGTTTTAAGGATTTCTCTCCTCCCTTCAGCGTTCTAAACTTTCCTTTGCTACCAAATTTCTGTCGATGAGCACGTGTGCTTTTGCAGTGTTACATTGGAAATCAGCATCGTGCAGAACGACCGCATCTTCTGCCTGTTCCGCTTGATAGGCAACTAGACGTGACCAGGCATCGACTTGTACAAAGTCTGTGGTTTTTCTGTGCTGAATGTGTGAGATCGTATTCTGAAAGTATCAATAATGCAGAAAGCAATCTGACATATGTGCTGATAGCACATTGTTGATTGTAAAAAGAAGGAGTAGTAGGCTGCGTTTTGTGAGAAGGGTGAATGGGTACTCAAAAAAACATTGCTGAAAAGCTTCAACGTCGTTGCGTAGTTGTATACACGGATTGCTGAAGTAGAAGGCAACAACTAAACTTTTCTCATCCAAAAATTCCAATCAAAAACTACTGGCACTGAGGAAAGTTTCAAGAAGCGATAGATTTAGTCATGGTTTCGTTTTTTATATCTTGGAGAGGAGTTGAGAACGATGGTGGCTTTCCCTTCCTGGAAGCTGCATGAGTACTTTTAATGTGAAGCCGAATCATCCACAAACCAAAGCTTCTGTACCAAAGCTGGCAGATTGAAGTTGATTTTTACCTTAGTTTAGTCTGTTTAGCGGATCACTTATATTGGCCAAGACTGAAAAATTATTAGCCAAAAATATTAGAATTAGACAACAAAGTAGTACCCTGTACCTTGAGGTGAGTACCAGCATATCCTACCATGTATAACGCTCTGTCTTTCGCTTGTCAGTGTGTGTGCTTCACTGAAAATTTATCACTGTCTCCCTGGACCTAGAGCGCTCAAATTTGGTAGGAGTACAGGCAGCAGGACAGAAACACTGAAGGTGGGTGGCAAGGCTGCGCAAAATTGTTAACTTGGGGCTTGGGCCTTCGAATTTAGTGGGAGTATTGATAGGTGGTAGGGTCTGCTTGAGCTGGACTCCACCCGAATGGGGGCGAAAGAGAGTGGAGCGAAACGTGTGTCGAATGAAGGCGATTCAAGTAAAAGTACGAAGACCAGTAGGAACAGTTGAAGAATCAACCATCTCATTTTAACATACAGGATTCGAGCAGGACTCCATTAATGACGGATGGAGCGCGCATATGTGCTTGTCTAGGAATCAATATTCTTTTTCCTCCAATAACAGAGGGCCCAAGTTGGGTCAGGCGGCAAGCCAATACTAAAATGAAGGAGGAGAAGCCAGCATGAGCTCGGCGATCTGACTGGTTTTCTGAGAAATCGTTTGCATTTTCAATATGTAGTTGTTGTGAGTTCCCCCATAAACAGGATTTAAAGTGGTACATTCCCCCTTCCGCTTACTACAACAAGATAGTATCCACAAAATATCTCAGAATATAGACCGATCAGATATTTTCACGCCTACTTCTCAGAGGGCGACAGGAATGGCCATGGTACTTCATCATAGAAATAGTAATTAGATATGGCTTCAAAAACAGCTCACATCGAAAATTTTCTCATCCTTCTTCCTTCTTTCTTCTGCTCTGCTAGTTAGCTCTGCTTGCAGAATTGCAATATCATTCCACAATTTATCCCGCAACTGAAAAAGTCGTACTTGAAAAAAGCTTGGCAACTTCGGAGATGATAAAAAAAAACCTTGTCATTCCTATTGCCGAATCGCAAAACCTACCTAAAAACGCTGCAAGTACGCAGGAGCAAGACCGACCGCTCATAGACAAGAAAGCATCACCTGTTTTTTTCATTTTATAAATATAAAAACTGAAAGGATGAAAAGAGCATTCTCGAGGAGCGTATTTCTTCGGATTTGGGTATTGGATTACGGCCCTAAGCTCGGTTTATACTCTGATGCTGAAAGAATCAAGAGGGAAATCCTTTTCAAGTAGTGTGATATTTTTCTCGCAATCATTTGTCTCATTCTCAGTTGCGCATGTGATTCAGTTCTGCATTAGGTCACTCGTGTATGTGTGTGTGTGTATAGGTGTGTATGTATGTGTGAACGTGCGTTTGTGTGTATGAAGGTGTGCGTGTGTATGTCTGTGTATGTGTGTATGTGTGTATGTATGTGTATGTGTGTACGTGTATGTATGTGTGTATGTGTATGTGTGTATGTGTGTATATGTGTGTATATATGTGTATGTATGTATGTGTATATGTGTGTATGTGTGTATGTGTGTATATGTCTGTGTATGTGTGTATGTGTATGTGTGTGTATGTGTGTATGTATGTATGTGTTTATGTCTGTGTATGTGTGTATGTGTGCGTATGTGTGTATGTGTGTATGTGTGTA